CCTCCTACTTCATTTATGAAGCCAGAATTTCCCTAAAACCGAAACCAGGGAAAGACACTGTAAGAAAACTACAGACCAAAATCACTCATGAGCATAGATGCAGGAATCTTAAAAAAATATATTAAATCCAACAATGTATTAACAGAATTATATACACCATGACCAAATGGGATTTACCCCGGGTATGCAAGGTTTGTTGAAAATTTGAAAATCAAGAATGTATTCCATCAGATCAACAGGCAAAATGAGAAAAATTACATGATCATAATAGATGCAGGAAAAGCATTTGACAAATCCTATAGCCACTCATGACCGAAGCTCTCAGTAACCTAGGGATAAAGGGGAACTTCCTCAACTTGATAAAGAACATCTACAAAAAGCCTACAGCTATCATTACACGTAATGGTGAAAAACTCAGAAGTTTCCCTTACACTCCAAGGATGTCCTCTCTCACCAATCCTTTTCAACACTGAACTGGAAGTGCTAGCTATTGCAACAAGACAAGAAAATGAAATAAAAGGTATACAGATTGGTACAGAAGAAATAAAATGGTCTTTGTTCACAGGTGACATGATCATCGAAGTAGAAAGTCTAAAAGAATTGACGAGAAGACTTCTGGAATAAAGCAATTATAGTAAGGTTGCAGGTTGCATGGTTAATATACAAAAGTTAATAGCTTTCCTATATACTGCCAATGAACAAGTGGAATTTGAAATTAAAAACATAATACCATTTACGTTAATTAGCGCTCAAAAAAGTGAAATATTTGGGCATAAATCTAACAAAATATATACAACATTTATATGAAGAAAAGAACAAAATTCTGATGAGCAAAATCAAGTAAACAATTGGGGAGGCATTCTATGTTCATAGATAAGACTTAATATTGTCAAGATGTCAGTCTTTCCAACTTGATCTATAGATTCAATGCAATTTCGACCAAATCTCAGCAAGTTATTTTGTGGATATTGATAAAAATTCTGAAGTTTACACGGAGAAGCAAAAGACCCAGAATGGCCAACAGAATATTGAAGGAGAACAAAGTTGGAAGAGTGACACTACCTCACTTCAAGCCTTATATAAAGCTACAGTTAATCAGAACAATGTGGTATTGACAAAATAATATACAAATTGATGAGTGGAACAAAATCGCCTAGAAACAGATCTCCATAAATCCAGTCAACTGATCTTTGATGAAGAAGCAAAGGCAATACAATGGAGTAGAGATGGGCTCTTCAACTAATAGTACTGGAACCACTGGACATCCACTCACACACTGATACACACACACACACACACACACACACACAAAAGAATATAGACACAGACCTACACCCTTCATAAACACAACACAAAATTTATCACATACCTAAATGTAAATGCAAAACTATAAAACTCCTAGAAGGTAACGTAGGAGAAAGCCTGGACGACCTTGAGTGTGGAGAGGAGTCTTCAGATACAACCCCAAAGGCATGATCTGTGAAAGAGAGAATAGATAGCTAGACTTCGTTAAAATTAAAATTCTCTGTTCCGTGATGGACAATGTCAAGAGGACGAGAAGACACGCACACTGGGAGAACCCCTGTGCAAAAGACACATCTGATAAAGGGCTGTTATTCAAAATGTACAAAGAACCCTTAAAACTCAACAATAAGGAAAGAGTTCAGTTGGAAAATAGGCTTAAAGACATTAACGGACACCAGAGATGTACAGATGGCACGTAAGCATCACATCATGTGCATCCGGCAAATGCACATTAAAACGAGGGACACCACACATGTCAGAATGGCCCAAATCCGGAGCACACACAACACCAGTGCTGGGAGGATGTGAAGCACTCCTTGCTGGCGGGATGCAAAATGGTGTGGCCACTGTGGAAGGCAGTTTGGCGGCTTCTTGCAAAACCAAACATTCTCTTACTTTATAGTACTCCTGCTTCCTGGTACTTCCACGAAGGAGTTGGAATCATGGGTCCTCAAAGCAGCTGCACCCAGATGTTTATAGCAGCTTTATTCATAGTTGCCCAAACTTGAAATGTGCATGTTCGGTGTGTGACTTCAAATCTCTGAGGCAATGATGGGCCTTCAGTAAGTGGACAGCCGCTTGGAGAAAGATAAAATAAGGCCTACCTTCACACAAACAAAAGTGAGCTCCAAACGGACCCGATGTCTACATGCAGAAGAGACACTAAGCAAACGTGGACAGAAAACACGGCGGAACTGACTGTGGGAAAAGCTTCCCAACCAGGACTCGGCACAAAACGAGCAATAAACCTGCAAACAGGAAACCGGAAACTTCCACACGGGAAGGTACTTCCCACTCAGAGTGGAAAGAAAAGTGACAGATGGAAAGAAAAGTGACAGATGGAGGCTGTGCAGCATATACTGGAGATAAAGGGCAATCACCCAAGCGTGTGCACATAATGTGAGAGGAATATGCCCCGAGTCCAATGGGAAATGGACAAAATATATGAACAGACAACTTATAAAAACAGATGGTTCTCAAACCTACGAAGACATTCGCCTTCACGCGTGAAGAAATGAAGCAAAGGGGCGTCTGGGGGGGCTCAGTCAGCTAAGCCTCCGACTCTTGATTTCGGCTCAGGTCATGATCTCACGGTTCATAGGTTCAAGCCCCGCATCAGGCTCTGTCTGCGCTAACAGCGCGGAGCCTGCTTGGGAATCTCTCTCTCCCCCTCTGCCTGCCCCTCCCCCCATTGCTCTCTCTCTGCCTCAAATAAACATTAAAAAGAAAAAAAAAAGGATGAAGCAAAGTCCAGAGGCACCATTGCCCCACCACCAGACCAGTGAGGGGAGAAGGGCAGGGCAATGTGGCAATACCCAGCCAAATGGATCCACGCTTCCCCGTGACCTCGCATTCCCACTTGTAGGAATTCGCCATAAAGACGCACCTCGAACAGCATGAAAATACACGTGCATGAGGTTATTCAAACAGCTCTGTTGGGAGTCATGAAGTCCTGGCAACCACAAAAACGCCAGCATGCGGGAGGCTGGCTGAGTCGGCCACGGTTCATCCACACGATGAAGCACTACGTGGCTCCAAGAGGGAGTCGTCCCCGAGTAGAAGAGTGCTTTCCAGGAGAAGAAACAACGTGCAGTCAGCACACAGGCATCTTCACAAAAAGGACAAACCAGAAAACTGACGCTAGTTGCAAAAACGTGGAGGCGGGACAGGAGGGAGCCATGTCCCTGAGCGTGCCTTTGTGAAGAGTCCAGACTTCTGGAAGCGCAATCACGTCCTACCAATAAGGAGGGTGGGAAGTCAGATCCCGAGACTGAAAGCAAAGGGAAAGATGACAGCCCAATCATATTTTAAATGAAAACCACCACAGTGAAGCAGGAGGGTTCGTCCGAGGACCGTGCACACACAGTATTTGACCACGAACCTGAAGCCACTGGGGACAGAATTCTCACCGTGGAGGGCAGATGTAGATACAGACAAGGCAGGCAAACGAGCCCACGGAGGTGGAACTGGAGGTGTCGGCATGGCGCCGCGGTCTCTCAAAAGCGCACATAGGTGTGTGCGTGTGGGTGTGCCCGTCCTCCCTCGCTGTCCACAGACACGGCCTAAAAACAGACATCTTGAAAGCAACACGCAGGTTTTGCACCCAGGCCTGTCTCCACGACCATTCCCCAAGAGGAGGCAGGGCCCCTCGGACAAATGGCTGATTTCTGGGCTGGGACAGAGGGACCCGAGAGCCTCGTGCCGGAAAGTAGGGAGGCAATGACACGTCACAACATGACAGCTCCCCGTGCGACCCCGGCACAGCGTGAGGCCCGGCAGCGATCCGCGGATGCATGCTGATAACCGATGACAAATATCTGAGCCCTGACCAATTATAAATGAGTGATAAATGCCGGTAATACGTACATAATAAACGCTGGGACAATTAGACCAAAGGGGAAAGGCGGGAGCTGGCTCGCATAGAGTGTTGGGCACCAGCCGGAGGCGGGAGGTGCTGCAAAGGCCAGCCTCCTCAGGGATCATCGGACGACATCGAGTCGGGGAGAGGCTGGAGCAGGTGCGCCCAGCGGACACGTCTGTGCCCACACTGCCTGTCGGCTGCGGTGGAGACCCAGCAGCTACAGCGGGGAGAGGCCGTCGCCTCCCTCCTAGGACACGCGGAGGTGCTCCATGCCGAGAGCTGCTCTCTCGAGTGGCTCGGAAAAGGTAGCCTTTCTTTATGCACGTGAGCACGTGTGTGTGTGTGTGGCACGAGTGCATGTGGTAGGGTGCACGTGACATGTGCGCGTGTGCGGCATGAGCACACGGTGTGCGCGTGCGTGCAGTATGAGTACATGTGGTGTGTGTGTGCATGGTGTGTGTACACACGTGGTACGTGTGTGGTATGAGTGACGCGGATGAAGTGTGAGCACGCGTGGTGTGATGTGTGCCTGTGCGTGGTAGGAGTGCACGTGGTGAGTGTGCACGGTACGTGTGTGCACTTGGCGTGAGCACACGCGGTGTGTGCATGTGTGTGCAGCGCACCTGTTTCCCTGCATCGTCTTCGGCGTCTGGTGGCGTCAGATGCATTTTGGGTCCTTAATAAATTCTCGGGCGATGAAGCGTAAAGATGCAGAAGTTACCACATAAAACGCAACCTACGCGGAGGCAGTCTCTAGAAATACCACGTATCGTTAAATCTCTAATAAGGAAACATTCAAATTTTTATTCTCCATTCTCTTTAAATTCCCACAATTTCACGTGAGCTGCCATGCCACGGCGTGCCTGTGCCCACGAAGGATTCTCCCTGTGGCTCGGGGCGTGGGCGGGGGACGCCGTCCAGCGGTGCTGCCTCGACACCAAGTCTCACACGAGCTCCCCCGAAGGGGCGCTTTTTCAGGTGCTCCGAGAGGCCCCCGGGTGAGGCCCGCAGTCCCCGCTGGCCGTGCTCGGTCTGGGCTGGCCGTGGAGGACCCCGGCCTGTTCCCTGAGGCGTATGTCCGGGGCACGTCCCCGGTTCGGCTCTTCATATCGTCTCATTTGCCAGGATGCCGGCGGAGCCTCTCGAGGAGCACCAGCTTTGTTTGTAGGTTGACGTCAAATGGAGGCAGTCGGGTCAGGTTCAGACTCACCCCGGTGGTGCCCGCGATGCTGGCCAGGACCCGGTGCGTGTCCCTGTAGAGGGCCAGCTGCGCAGGGGCCGCCTCCACGAGGAGGTGCGTGTAGGCCAGCATACGCCCCGACCCAGGCTGCACATCTTCCTTTTTCTCGTACCTGCGAGAGAAGAGCGTGACCGTGCACCTGTGGCCCCACGCCAGTGCCCGGATGCCCCCAGGGAGCCCCCACGTGGCCTCTGCGAGGAGCGCCACCGCCCGCAGTCACAACTGGCGGGAACGTACCTCCAGGCGCTGTTGACTTCTAGAAACCGAGACACACCGGTCTGTGCGGCGGCCACGTCGATGTGCACGACGACGTCTGTGGACAACCACGCGTGTTCAGTCAGCATGGCGAGCCGGGGTCCCCTGCCCCCCGCCAGAGCCGCAGCTGGCCCAGCTCGGCCCCAAGCACCCACCTGTCCCGGGGGCCACCAGCTCGTGCAGCCGCTGCATCGCGACGCCGCCAGGATAGTTGAAGTGGGACACGTACAGGGCCGTGGCCGAGTACATGGCGTTCACCACCAGGTGTCCTACCACAAGGGCGGAACCCACTTTATACAGCCAAGACTTCCTGTAGTTGTTCAGCCTGGAAAGAGCACGTTTCACGGAAAGGCTTGCTCTCTCCCAGCAACACCAGCCGGTGGAGTCTGCGGCTTCATTTCAAGAACTGAACCCCCTTCCCGCACAGTCACGGACTCCTGAACGGTCTGTCCATGGTTCGCCCCAGCTTCGCTAACCTGAGACGCCCAGATTTTCCATGAACGGAGTCCTCCTCCCTCCCGTCCCAGCCCTCGAGGTGGAATCCGCCCGCTGCTCTGAGCAGCTCCCCCTGTGGCCTCGGGCCGGGTGCACGTCCAGTCCCTCCAGCACCACGCCCGCCACTGAACCCAGATGGAGCCCGAGGCTGAGGCTCACGGCCCGGAGCAGAGCGGGCACAAGGCGCTTCCTGCCCTTCACGGGCGTTGGTTCTTCGGGAGCACGGCCTACTCCTGGCTCCCGGCTCCTGCAGGGGCCGTGCGGCGGGGCCTCCTCTCCCGGCCACACCCTCTGTGCCCTCAGCCCGGCCGCGTCACTCCTGTTCCTACCATGGCAGTGACCGCCTTGCTCTAGGGAAGGGCAGCCCCGCTCGACCAACCTGCCTTATCCCGGACGCCCTCCTCGGGGCACCTTCGTTCTGTCGCCGGGCCATCCCCCTCCCTCGGAAACCCCCACACCACCTTGTGCCCCACGCCGGTGGGTCGAGCGCTTCCCTGACCCTTCCCCTGTCATCCGCTCTGCCGCTCTCTGCTCGGTGGGGCCTGGCCCTTCCGCGAAGTCAGCCCTGGAGACCATCCGCCCGGCCGAAGCCCGCTCGGCTGCCCCGTGCAGGGGCCACTCCGGGCACGTCCTCCCCCAAGTAACCGAGACCGAGCGCGGAGACCGGCCCGACTGACCGCAGCCCCACCGACACGGTGGGTGGGAGGCCAGCCCGTCCCAACCCCGGGCCCTCCTCCTTCAACACCTCCCCGCGTGACAGCGGGCGCGTGCGGCCCGGCTGTGGAAGCGGGGGCGGCGGGACGCTCACAGGCAGGCGCAGCCCCTGGCGGCCACGATGTTGAGCACAGGGAAGGAGTAGATGATGAACCGCAGCTCCTTGTGCGGCAGCAGCGAGTACAGGGCCACGAAGCCCAGCGAGGGCAGCAGCAGCGCCAGGGCCCGCCTGTCCGTGGCGCCCAGCGGCACGAACAGCAGGCTGCAGCCCAGGCCGCGGGGCAGGGCCGAGTAGAAATACCACAGCGGTGGTGAGGTCTGTGGGGGCAGGGTCAAGGAGCCACACGCCAGCGAGCCACGGCCGACAGGCGCTCCTGCCCGCGGCACCTGGGACCCCCCCCCCACCACCTGTCCCTCCCCGTGGCTGCAGAACAGCTCGTGCCGGTGGACTCGCGCGCTGTACTTCCCGCCCGTGTGTACGCTGTCCGGTTCGGCAGCAAAACGCTACGGGCTCCCACTAAAGACCGTCCCGAAGGCTAAAGGGGAAATGGCGCCCAACAGCAGGGCGGTGTCTCGGCAGGTGTGGCTGCCTGGAAGGAACGGGGGAGGAGGAGGGGGAGGAGGGGGGGAGGGGGAAGGAGAGAAGGAAGAAGAGAGGGAAGGAGGAGAGGAGGAAGGAAGGAAGGAAGGGAGGGAAGGGAGGAGGGGAGGGGGGAGGGAGGAGGAGGGGGGGCCGACCACCGCCCCACCCTGCAGGCACCCGCCAGGAGCCTACGGAGGAGGATACTCCCCAGTTGAACTTTTGTTCAGGATGGTGTTAGCCTGCCAGCACCTTTCCCTCTGGCCTACGAGACCGCCAAAAACAGGAGTCCACCCAGTGACGGTCAGTCCTGGGCCAAGATAAAGGGAGTCCCTCAGGAAGAACCATTACCACACAGGCCACTCCAGGCGTCACCTTTCTGGCGTGAACAGCAGCCCCAGAGCCCCAGAGTCTGCATGAGTCCAGCGTCCAGCAAACAGCAGCGATAAAACCCCCTGCTCCAGGGGGATGGCGGCGTCGGGACCTCGGCTCCCCCCGGCTGGGGCCAACCACCCCTCCCGACCAGGGCTTGAGGCTGACCCAGCGGATGGAAGGCGTAAGACATTTATCTGCTGGACATGAAGGCCAGCTCTCCCGAGAAACCCGCTTTCAGTCACAGCAGCCTGGCGGCTTTCCCACTCACTAAGCAGAAGTGACGACGAGGCATAGCGCCAAAGCCGCGCCACCGTCACCCTCAGGCTGTGACAGCAGCAACCGCAGACCAGGAACAGGCTCAGCTCAGCCGGAACACCAGGATGTTGACAGCCCAGAGAGCGGATAGGCGGGCCACTTCAGCTGCAACCAGGCGTGAGGCGGGGCAGGACTTACAGAACAGGGTGCCGAAGCAGGCCGACTTACTTCCTCGGCAGAAAGCCACCTGTAGAGACCATGGAAGGGTGACTCAGGCCAGATCTGCTGACCACCCGAGACTGACCTCACTGTGCCATGGCCTTCCACAGCCTAGGGCCGCTTCTCAGGCCTGACGGCGCAGCCCCATACCTGCCCTGAAACCCCCAGGCTCCATCGCCCAGCGCCCTCCCTCCCCCCTCTCCCTCTTTTCCAGACCTGCGAGGCGTGTCGCTGGCCCCCCGCGGGGTTCATTCGACGGGAACCTTGCCTGCCACCTTCCCGGGCAGGACGTCAGACCCACACCACCGAGCTGATCGTACAGACCCCCCAAACCCACGCCATCCACGGCCCCCCCTCCTACCCACACTTGGCCTCCCCCCGTCTGCCTGGGTCACCCCCAGGACGCTCGGACAGAGCTATCCACAGACCAGGGAGACCCTCGCAGGCGGCCCCGGCCACGTGCGGGGAAGCGTGCCTCCATCCGGCACCAAGAAGAGGCCCCCCCTTCCCCTCGCCGGGCATTTCTGACCCTGACCCTCGCCGGGCCGGTACGCCCTGCCCCGTGGTGCCCAGCGAGAGTGCGGCTCGGCAAGCGCCTACCCACAGACAGGGCCAGCACGTTGGGGAGCGTCCGGGTGCAGTAGAACATCAGGTGGAACTGTGTGGCCGTCACCCAGCAGAACATGGTGGCCACCGTGGCCCCAAACTGCCGCCTCACTTCTTTTTGTAAAGTCCAGAGTCCCGAGATCACGCCGAGTCCCAGGACGGCTCTGACTAAACAAAGAGGGCACCGTGAGTGACCCACAGCGTGCAAGACGCCGGCAAAGCAGGTCTCCGCCAGTGCCGCTCGCGGTGCAACTTGACGACCAAGTAGCAGTGAGACCACCTCGAAAGAGGGGACCCTGAAGCTTTGCCGGGACCATGCGGCCCGGGGAGGGGGCTCGGGGGGACATGGCCACCGGGCGTCTGCAGGACCGTGTGACAGGCGTGGCATCATCAGCACAGCCCACGCCACAGGGACAGGACGTGTCCAGGGCCACCCTTCCCCAGGCGGGGAGACTGTCCGGGGCTCCCTGACACCCCCGAACCAGCACAGCCTGTGCAGCCGCCCCCCGTGGCGGCGGATTTCCATTTCCTAATCTGTTCTCTCAGGAAGCAGGCCTGCTTCTCCCCCGGGGATCTGTGTCTTTAACGTCCTGCCCGTGAGGCCGACAAACTAGCTGGAGAGCGTGTCTGACTTAGCGGGGGAGATCCAAGTGTCGTTTGGGTGCAGCCACGATAAAAATTCACCGAAATGGGGCGCCTGGGTGGCTCAGTCGGTGGAGCGTCCGACTTTAGCTCAGGTCATGATCTCACGGGTTGTGGGTTCGAGCCCCGCGTCGGGCTGTGTGCTGACAGCTCAGACCCTGGAGCCTGCTTCTGATTCTGTGTCTCCCTCTCTCTCTGCCCCTCCCCAACTTGCGCTCTCTGTCTAAAAAAATTTTTCTTAAAATAAATTAAAAATACACCGAAATGGAAAACTGGTGACCATCGACCAAAAATGACATTTCAGAGAGAGATACACAGAATGTTCTGAATTTAGTTTTAAAAAATACATGGGCACACAGCCCCAGAACGCTCTGCACAAAGCCCTGTGGACAGTGGCCTCCAGGTGGGGGAAGTGAGGCCTCCAATGCAGGCGCCGTACCGCCTGGGTGGACGGCTCTCCAGGTGTGGCCGCCGGCCCCTCTGCGGCCACCTCCGGAGGTGCATCTCGTCTGCTTCCCCTCCGGCCACCGCGGCCGGGGCAGGGCCGGCCGGCACCCTCACCTCATGGTCTCAGGAACAGGTGGACAGGTGCCCAGTCACCTGTCCCGGGTCACGGCCCAGAAAGGGCTGACTTTGGGCCTCCACCCGAGCTCTGGACCACCGCACGAAGCAGCCTGGGTTCTGACGGAAGGACGGCCCAGAAGGAGGGGGGCCTCAGCCCGGCCGACCGAAGCCCTGACTTCGCACGGCTCCTCACCTGTCCTCGTCCGGACTCCCCCTTACCTACTAGCTGAGAATAGAACTTGGGCGCTTGCAGCAGGGACAGCACGCAGACCGCAGGGCTGGACAGCACCGCCACAGCCAGCGGCCCGAGGAACGTCCTGGGGACCACGCCAGGGAACTCGAGGTGGTCATACTGCAGGGAGAAGGGGGGCGTCAGCGGACGTCTCGCAGGGGTGCCGCACAGCCCGGGACGCGGGCGCTCACCTTGTCCACGTCCAGCCGGTGGTAGAGCAGGTCGTGCACGGCCTGCAGACTAAAGCTCTCCTCCACTTTGGAGTAGGGGCAGGTGAAGAGGTGGATGGCACCCACAGCTGCCAGCAGCCCCAGCAGCCAGCGCTGCCGGCCTGGGCCCGACGGCCTCTTCCCCGCCATGGCGATGTCCCGCTTCACGTGCCTTCAGCGACCATCAACGCTGCTGCCCTGTGAGCACTGGGACAAAACGAAAATGCAGATCGCTGAGTTTCCACAGTCACACGTGAGTTAACACCCGGGGGATCCAGGTGAAGGGGGAGTGTGAACTCTTTGAACTACTGCTGTAGTTCAGAAGGCCTCCAACTAGAGAATTCAAGGAAAAATCACGCCTGAGCGCCTTTCACATTTTTTTAAAAGCAAGCTTCACACCGAGTGCGGAGCCCCACGTGGGGCGTGAACTCGTGACCCTGACTGAGATCAAGACCTGAGCTGAGATCAAGAGTCGGACACAGCCTGAGCCACCCAGGCACCCCTTCCACACTTTAACCGGCTGGCTCAGGCTTCAAGCTGTGTATTTTTCCAGGAAGACTTTATTTGCAGAACTGAGTCAGTCCTCCACGTGGCCGGGCCCCGGGCTGACCCAGCCTCTGGAGGGCAGCGGGACGGCCCCTGCAGTTGAGAGGCTCAACTCTGGCGGGACAGTAGGGCCCCACGGTACAGGGTGAGAGACCCCGGGACAGGCAGCTGTAGGGTGGGAGGGATGCGTCTGGGGGATGACAGAGGGGCAGCCACAGGAGGGCAGGAGGTGGCACACAGGGCCAGGACAGCCCACAAAGCCCCCGCAGTCCAGGTACAAACGGACAGGAGCTGTGGACGCCTGCCTGCCGGAAGCCGTGTGGAGCCCCTGAGAGGCACCACACCGGTCACGAACGTGAACATGCAGATGACAAAGAGCATGAGCGTGTCCCTGAGGTGTTCAGACAGATGTGTCTGCAGCGGATCCCCGAATCACCCAAATACAGCAGGACGATTTTGGGAAGAGCCTACAGCACAAAGCTTCCCAGGAGACACCTAGACTGTCCCGCTTGTGCGGGGGGAAGATGGCAAATTCTTCTTCGTGTTTCTGGCTACTCTTAAAACAGGTTTGATTTTATTTGATCAGAACCAGAAAGGCCAGAAGAGAAAGGACAGAGTGCTTACTTTTTGCTAAAACTATTTTTTTCTTATTTATTTTTTCATTTGAGAGAGAGAGAAAGAGGGAGAACACGTGTGCACACACGCATGCAGGGTAGGGGCAGAGGGAGGGGGAGGGAGAGAATCCCAAGCAGGCTCCACACCAAACGTGGAGCCCAACACGGGGCTCGATCTCAGGAACCGTGAGCAGAAACTGTCAACGCTTAACCGACTGAGCTACCCAGGTCCCCCTGAAACTACCTTGTGATTAGAGAGAGATTTCGGAAGTCTGTAGTCTCCAGGAGCGCCTGGGTGGCTCGGTCGATTAAGGGTCTGACTTCAGCTCAGCTCACGATCTCACGATTCGTGGGTTTGAGCTCTGAGCTGTCAGCACAGAGCCCGGACCCTGCTTCGGATTCTATGTCTCCCTCTCTGCCCTTCCCCTGCTCACTCTCTGTCTCTGTCTCTCAAAATAAAGAAACAATTTTTAAAAATTAAAAAAAAAAAAAGAAGTCTGTAGTCTCCAAAGATGGCAACTGGGGGGGAATCAACAAGGGAAGGACAATCCGTGGAATGGAAGGAGCAGGAATCCTGCCTGATGTGGCAATGCCGGTGGTGGTGAGGTGGGGCCAGGAAGGGGGGAAAGGGGCTGTAATAATTAAGAACGACCAAAGTAGCAGTTCCCTTAAAAGTAACCTAACTTTTTCTCTTCCCAGATATAAAAACCATGGATGAACAAGGGTGTTATAATTTGTCTCCTTCTTTCTTTAAACTTTTTTTTAAAATGTTTATTTATTTTTAACAGAGAGAGACAGAGCATGAGCAGGGGAGGGGACAGAGAGAGA